GGGGGGGGGCGCGAGAGTAGGCCACGGGCAACCCCCTCTCATGCTCCTGCACCCCAGCTTCAGGCTAGGTGACCTGGAGGCTCCGGAGCTGCCTGCCACGGGGGTCCCTTCACAGGGCAGGACAATGCCCGGGACTCAGCCAGGGACCCTCAGGTCCTCAGCTCTGCCTTGGCAGGGCTGTGGGGCGGGGAGCGAGGTCCCTAGCTCTGTGTGTGTGGGGGGGGGGGGGGGGGGGGGGGGGGGGGGAGGGAGAGTGGGGGAGGCCCTGGCCTGTGAGGCTGTCTCCCTCCTACCTCCCTGGGGTGGGTGGGGCTAATGCACCCGCACCTACACCAGGTGACCCGCTTACAAGGTGTTCTGTGCAGGACGCCCCTCCCCGCTCCCCGCACGGCAGGGCCAGCCCCGCCCTGGGGCACCCAAGAAGAGGGGACAAGCCAGGGGCCTATGGGGCTCTCACCCAGCAGCGTCGAGCAGCCGTCCCCCAGCGGGTAGCGCTGGTAGCGGGGGATGCTGAGAGGCGGCAGGGCGTGGAATCGCCGCTCCAGCAGCGGCTCCAGGCGCGAGGCCGACGGGTCGGCAGGGTGGAAGAGGTTGTAGACTTGCTGGCAGGCGGGCCGCAGCTGGAACACTGGGGGGCGGAGGGGGGCGGGAGTCGCAGAGCCTGGAGCTAGCTCCGCCCTCAGGAGGCGGGGCCTAGAGCAGGCTGGGATTGGGTGCAGTGCGACGGGACGGGGTTGGGGATACAGAGAAACCCGAAAGAGGGTCTCTATCAACTTTGGGATTCTGTTTGGGCCACTGTCCCTTTATTAACCAAATTTGTTTTAATTGAAAAAGTTATAATGACGGTGGTTAAAAAAATTTCTTTTTAAGTACAGAAATATATATGATAAAACACATACAACGGAGGGTTCCCTTTCTCCCCAGAGCGCCGGGGCTGGCGCCCCACCTGCAACTTTTGGGAGCCTCATGCGCATGCGCGGCCCGAGCCCCCCGGGGGGGGGGGGAGGAGCCATCCTCCGCTATTAGAAATGTCTGTAGGCCAGTGCGATGGGGCTGTGCTTTCGAACATCTCATAATTGATGGGAAGATCACGTGAATGTCATTATAAACTATCAGTAACATATATCTCACTTTAAAACATACAAATAGGAACATAATCTATGCTTTTTGAACATAATCTGTGCTTTTTTTTCATTTAACACAATAAATGGGAGTCTTTCGTATCAGCACTCTAGTTCCGCCCCATTCTTTTTAACTGCGGTGGGGTATTCCATTGTATGGCTGTGCCGCAATTGATTTAACCAGCTCGAATCCCGTAGGTTGGTTGTGGTTTTTCACCGTTACAGATGACGTTGCCCTAACATCAGTGTCTCTGAGTCTGTGCACTCATACCGAAGCCACTGTTTACTTGCTCTTGGGCAAGTGTCTACGCCTGCCTCTCTGAGCCTCAGTTTCCTGCTGGGGCCCCTGCACAGCTCCTGTAGGATGGCAGGTCTCCCTGGACCGCACTCGTTGATCCCGGGGTCATTGGGCAGGGACTGCTGCTCTGACGGCTGCTTAGCCCACAGGTTCCGTCTCCCTGTGTGTGTAGCCATGAGGAGGAACCTGGAGCAGCGTGGCTGTGGTCCCTCTGGGGCTGGGAGGCCACCCGATCGAGGAGACTTTGGGGGTGCCAGGCTTCACATCTCTTCCTTATGGGAAGACCTTAGGCCTGGGAGACTGGCTCTGGCCCCATCTGATCCTGGGGCAGCCCCTTCCATCTCTGGACCTCAGCTCCCAGAGGTGCCTTGGAGATTAAACGAAACAGCGTGCTGGGAAATGGGGCCAGGGACTGAGCTGCTGAAGCTGGAGCAAAGGAGAGCAATGGGTCCTTGGTGGGGGGTGCAGAAAAGAGGAGGAAGGGGCCTGGGATGTGGCCATGGCCTCATGACGGGGGTCCACTGAGACCTTCTGCCCAGCTCATGTCCGCCCCCCCATCCCCCCCGCCTCACTCCTCCCCTGCAGGGACTCTCACCATCCAGGGAGGGGATGACGGTCTTCCTCAAGGCCAGGACCAGCCCCAGCGGGCACCCAAAGAGGAAGAGGTCAGCGATCTCAAAGTCGAACTTGCCCACGGCCCCTGCGCCATCCAGCATGGTGGAGCTGCTTGAGTGGCGGGAGCTGGGCTCATTCCTCAGCACGCTGGCATGGAGGCTGCAGATGGGGGGGGGGTGAATGAGGTCACACCACAGCCCTTCTCGGGGCTGGCCTGTCCTTAGCCTCCTGAAAGAGGCTCCTCAGGGGTCATCAGGTCCAAAGGAGGCTTGGTCCCTGTGTGGTCCTGTGAGTGCAGCTGTCCAGCACCTGCTGGGACACCTCCGGTGACAGCAGGTCCCAACCTCTCTAGGGAGCCCACCACCTTTGGGACAGCCCTGACCGGGATCACGCCGCCCCTGGTCACTTCTGCTCCCTGATTCTGCCATCCCCACTTCCAGCCCTGGTCAATCTGTTCCCTCTGACTCAAGATGACCCAAGGCGTGTACAAGACCACATCTGTACCCAACAAGCACCTTCTCCTGGCTGAAGAGCTGTGGCCCAGTCTGGGGATCGCAGGACAAGGGCCGGGGGGCCTCCAGCACCCTCACGTGGGCCATCGGCACGATCTTATCCATGTTCTCACTTCTGAGCCGTCCCTCTGTCTTAGAGTCCCCGTACTACCCACCTGGACAGGAAGGCCTGGTGCTGCTGGATGGTGTCCAGCTCGTAGGTGGACGAGTCACTCCTCTTGCGGGGCAGCTGCTGTTTGGGGTCCTCAGCGCCGTTGCTTCGGGGGATGTCGATGTTGCTGCGGCTCAGGTGCCGGCTGCTCTCCAGGTTGCTGCCATGTGCCGCATTGACCGTCGTGCCCGGGGACAACAGGTCAGTGTCCTGGAACGGCCCCATGCAGGCTCACTGCCCGGTGGCCACTGGCCTGGCCCCCTCTTCAGTGTCCTGGAAGCCGTGTCTGCCCTCCTGACTCCAGGCCCACTGGCCACTGCTCAGCGGCCTCTCACCCAAGCCAGGGAGGGAAAAGCCCTGTCCCTCTGTGCCCCACGGTCCCCCCCAGCCTTCACTCCTGGCCTGGCCTGCCCATGTGGGCCTTGCTGATCTCCCACTGATCCCGCTGCCTCGCCCGGCCTGCCAGGCCATTTGCTACTCTGCAGCAGAGGGACCCTGGGTCCTCTCTCCTACTGGGAAGCTCAGAGGATCCACCCCCCAGGACCAGAGCCTGCTCCCCACGGTGCAGACCCTGCTTCACCGCCTGCTGAAGCTGCCGTGCTCCTAGGTTGAGCCGCAGCGCAGCTGTTCACCTGTCCCACGCATCCACCCCCTGCCTTTGGGCACCTGCATTAGCAACCTCTGCCCTTCCCTTTTTCCGCAGGCCTCTGGGATGTTTGGAGCCAGAGGGTGACAGTCCTCAACCTGGAGGTCCCCTGCTCCGGGGGCTGGGGGAAGCTAGTACCTGCACACTGGCCACACTGCCCCGGCGGCTGCTGCTCTGACTCTCAGACACCGTCTGGTTGCTGCAGCATAAGGCATCGAACGCCAGGATGCCCCCGACGCAGTCCCCGATCAGGCAGACCTGGAGGGGGAGAGGCTCAGGGGCCTGAGAGCCCACCCTGCCTGCTGGAGGGCTGGCTGGGGAGAGCCCTGGCCTGGAGGACCAGGCCAGCCCACCCTGCAGGGTTTCTGTCTTCCCTTCCCCCACCCCACAACTCACCTGCCCGTTGAAGGTCACGCCCTCCTGGGACTTGATGAAGTCCCCGTAGGCGAGGTTGGCCCGCTGGATCACTGTGGCAACGGCCTCCTGGTAGTGGGGTGAAGAGGTTGCCAGCAGGGGCAGGGCGGCCAAGGGGATGTGGTCCTGGCTGCTGGACAGACAGCCTTCGTCGTGGCTGTAGGGGCTGAGGCTGGGGGCGGGAGACCGGTCAGGAGAGAGCAGGTGGCCTCAGCTCAGCCCAGTGGGCCCCTCTTCCCTGACCCGAGCATCAGAGCAGGAGCTGCCTGACACCCTGAGAGCCTCAGCCCTGACTTGGCAAACCTCGTGGGGATGCTTCCAGGCCAGGCATGGGGAACAGGGCCGGGGAGTAAGGCCAGTATGTCAGAGGCAGGTCAGCATCCCCACATTACAGATGCAGAAACTGAGGCTCAGCTTGGCCCCTCCAGGACTCTAGGCTCGGCCATCTGCGTAGGTTTTGCTGCCTCCCGGCAGAATAGGCTAAACGGCGGGTTTGGATGTCGGCACTGTGGTCCCAGTACTGTGGCTGCGGTGGTGGTGGTGGGGGTGTCTCCTGACCCTCAGGGCCAGGGGAGGGGCAGGTGGCAGCCAGCCTGGGCACTCACTCGGAGACGAGGGCGAAGGCAGCAGAGCAGATGGGCGGGCAGGGCACCAGGCGGATGGCCAGGTGGCCCAGGGCGCTGGGGTAGTGCACGCGCATGACGGTGTCGAACACGGTGGCGATGGTGTTGGTGTCGCCCTGCTTGGAGCCGGGGTCCCCGGCGCCCGTGTCCAGGATGGTGCCTCCGTGCAGCAGCAGCAGCAACACGTGGATCTTGGAGGGCGGCACGGCCAGCGGCGGGCTGACCTCGTCCTGTGCGGGTGGGGGGGTTGGGGGGGTGAACTTCCTGGGGACTCGGCTCCTGGCCGAAGATTTCCGTCCTGCTGGGGGGGACGCTTGTGGCGGCCCAGTCACTCCCTCTGAGACCCCGTCTCAGTTCCTCTGCTCCGGGGCCTGGTGCCCCTCCCCCGGGGGGACCCAGCTGCTTCTGCCCCTCCCCTCTGTGCTCAGCCCTGCTCCCTGCCAGCCGGGGCACAGAGGACACGGAGGGAGAGGGTCTCTTCCTTCCGAAGCACAACGCCACCTCCCATCTGCGGGCCCAGGCAGGGGCTTCTGGGCTGCCAGCCTTGGGGGGCAGGCAGAGGCTCAGCCCCGTGCGGGCCTTTGGGGCCTGCCTGCCCTCCGTGTGTCTGTGTCCAGACGTCGGTGTGTCACAGGCTCTCTCTTTTTTAAAATTTATTTTATTTTATTTATTTATTTTTGGCTGCGCTGGGTCTTCGTTGCTGTGCGCAGGCTTTTCTCTGGTTGCCGCAAGTGGGGGCTATGCACGCAGGCTTCGTTGCTCCGCGGCATGTGGGATCTTCCCTGACCAGGGCTCGAACCCGTGTCCCCTGCATTGGCAGGGGGATTCTTAACCACTGTGCCACCAGGGAAGCCCTCACAGGCTCTCTTAAGAGGGGCTGGGGGGGACTTCCCTGGCGGTCCAGTGGTTGAGAATCCGCCTTCCAATGCAGGGGATGCAGGTTCGATCCCTGGTTGGGGAACTAAGATCCCACATGCTGCGGGGCAACTAAGCCCGCGCCACAACTAGAGAGAAGCCTGTGCACCGCACCGAAGACCCAATGCAGCCAAAAACCAAACCAAACCAAACCAAACCAAAAAAATTCTGAGGCAAGCAATTAAAGAAAAAAAAGAAAGAAAAAGAGGGGCGGCGGGGGTCAGGGATTCAGATTCAGCTTTGCCGCTCAGCCAGCAGCTCTGAGCTCTCCCTCCATCTACATGGGCCCTCCCCCGCTGCCCCAGGCCCATGGCCCCCCGGCTCTGCCATTCCCAGCCTCTAAGACCAAGGTCCTCAAGAGCAGAGATGTCCCAGAGGTGGCAGAACCCCAGCATCTTAGAGTGGGGAGGGCAACGCAGGTGTGTCTGTCTGAACCCCCCCTCATTTGTGAGGAGTCAGCCCTGCTTATGAAGTCCAAGTGAGACCTGCACACATCCACCATGGGAATGGAACTGTTCTATCTAGAGACGAGGTGGCCCAGAGACGACAAGGGACTTAGTCTAATATCACACAGCGCATCAGTTCCAGGCTGGACCGGAAGCCAGAGCTCCTGCCACCAGCTCAGTGCTCTTCTGCTACCCTAGGCTGTCGCCCCACCCCCAGGGGCCTCTCCCCATCCCCGGCTTCTGGTGTGCGAGGCCAGGGCCAGGGCCCAAGGGAGCCACAGGTGAGTACCTGCCTTGCCCATATTATGTCAGGGGCTGAGGGGGGCGGGGAAGGGAGCTGAAGACAGGGGCCCGTCCCTAAGGAACTCAGGAGCAGAACAAGGGGCTGAAGCCATCTGGAGGGTCCATGCGGGGTCAGCTGGCCCTGAACTGGGCACTGAACCCAGGGACTGGCGAGGCCACCGGGAACGGGTCAGGCTGGGCTGGGAGCCTCTGAGCAGCAGAGGGCTTTGGGCGGGAGGAAGGCTGGTGGGTGGTACCGGGCCCGGGGTGGAGGCAAGGCTGGGCTGCCTCAGTCCCCACGAGGGGGCTGGTCATCGGCCGGTCGTGGGCCACAGGGCCTGGGCAGAAATGAACTCACGGCCCAAGGCAGGGTGTGGTCACTGGCTGCCCAGACCACAGGCCAGGACAGAAGCACCAGATGGTCCCGAAGACTGATCAACACAGCCGGGCGAGAGGCTCAAGGAAGGCACGTCTTACAGCACCCCCCCTGTCACCCAGACGTGGCCCCTAGTCACCTGGGACGGGCAGGGCTGGGCAGTGCGGGGCTGAGAGAATCCTGCCTGTGCCTGGCTGCTGGGGCCCAGCGCTGGAGGCTGGGGACTCTTCGGGGACCCAGGAGGCCGGTCCGAGACACAGCTTTCCTCCCATTCAAACTGCTTTCTACAGGGGCACACCCTGCCTGAGACTCGAACCCCAGTGGGAACAGAGCCATTGGGAGGAGGGGCCTGGGAGCCAGCTCTGGAGAGCCGGGGGTCCCCAGCAGCGACTAGGTAAAGCCGTCCTCCTTCCTCGAGCCTGGGAGAAGAGCCTCCAGTTTGGGGACCGTTGCCAGCAGAGGGATCTGGCTCTGGATGGCGGTGTCCCAGAACCAGTGCTGGGTCCAAATGCACATCCCCAGAAAGATCCAGAGCCCGAGGCCCCTTCTGCCCCTCCTCGGGGGCCGTCAGAGCTGTGTGCACCGAAGGCAAGGAGGGGGCTCTGTTTGCTTTATCGCCATTAACCGGCAATTGGGAATCAGTTCCCCTCGTTCCAGTTACCCTTCTAGAAAAGGCCGCTTCGACCTCAGACCTCAAAGAGAACCCCAAGAGGAGGAGGCCGGTGCGGATGCACCCCCTCCCCGGTCCAAACTCCCCACGGGTCCTGAGTCCCCAGAGGTGCCGTCTCCACCTTGGGCAGCTAGAGGCCAGGGCAGTGAGGTGACCGCAGCGTGTGACGGCCCCACTCTGCCCCGGCTCCTGCCCCAGTGCAAACAGCCCTGACTGCCCACAGGTGGGGTAGGAGAAGGGGCGCGAGCTCCATGCAAGGAACCCCCGAAGCGGACACAGGCGCTCTACCAGGACAGCTTGACTGGACACTTAGCGCTCTTCCCACCCCCGGCGGGGCGGCCCCATCACTCCTGCCTAGATGACTTTCGCTTCCTCCCCTTCTATCTTTTTTCCTTCAGGGACTTCAGACAAGCTGAGCACAAGGTGAAGATACTATTTTTGATCTGGAATTTCCAAGTTTCTCAGTTTGCTTTCCAAGGGTGGAGCGGGGTCAAGGCCTTCCTCGGGGGACCTGTCTGCAGTCCCTACTGGCTCTCAGGGGCACCAGAGGGGCTGGGCCCCAGGCCTCTCTCCAGTGGTGCCCAGGCCAGCGTGGACATGATGCTGTGGGAGCCAAGTTCTGCCTCCATGGTCTCCCCCGCGGGACTGGTCCTTTACGCCCTGCCCCCGCTGCTGCAGCCCTGGCCCTCTCCACCTTGGCACCCACCTCGATGATGTTCAGCTGCTCCACACTGGAGGCCACCCTGAACTCGGGGGCGCTCTGGCGGTACAGACCGTCTGCAACACAGAAGCGGTGGGTGGGTGTGAGCAAAGGGGCGGGCCCAGCGGACAGAGGCTGTGACCGTGACAAGCAGGGCCCGAGGTGTCCCCCCTAACCCCCCTGGGTGCTTCAGTGCTCCTCCTTAGGAGGCTGTAACCTGCAGCCCCCAGCTGGTTACCCTGTGTGTCCTCTGGCTCAGGGCTTTCGATTTTGTCCATGAGGTCATTGGAGTTCCACTTGGTGATGTCCTTGGGGAACATTTCCTCTGAATCGGACAGGTCCTCTGGGGAGGAGAGAGAGGGGCTTCAGCACCCCGATCAAGGCAGGGAGTCAGGGGAGGGGGGCGCTGGGAGGCCTAAGAGTGGCCGCTCTGGGGGCCCCCGTGCTTCTCTGGCCCGTGTGGCCCTCCCCACTTGGTTCTATGCTCTCCCTTCCTTAACAGGACGGACACACGGCCACATACTCACCGGGCTTCTGCCTGATGTTTTTCAAAAAATTGTGGTAACTTTCACTTAACATAAAATTTACCATTTTAACCATTTTCAAGTAGCATTTAGTCCATTCACAATGCTGTGCAACCATGAGCTTTATCTGGTTCCAGAACTTCTCCATCTCCCCGGATGGAAACCTGTCCCCATTAGCAGTCATGCCTCATCCCCCGCCTCTCCCAGACCCTGGCAACCACCGGTTGACTTTCTGTCCTTATGGATTTGCCTGTTGAGGACATTTCCCATACATGGGATCATACAGTATGTGGTCTTTTTTTTTTTTTTTTTT